GCCAACACGAACACTCCTTCCATTCGTCACTTCCACAGTTCCAAACCAGAATGGGTCGGTGGATATAAATGCAAGATGAACTCTAATAAGCGTGAAAACCTAGCCTATTGCTTCCAAAGTTTAGAATTGAGTGGAGGCGCAGATTGTGTGTGTGTGTGTGTGTGTGACGATGAAATCTGAAGAACGGTCACTGAAAAATCCATAATGAATTATTTCACACTACAAGTTAAATGTGAAAGTGAGATATCGATTGAAACCCTCAACTATAAATCTGTAACCATTCCCCTTGATGAGCTGGCCCGTCGCCTGAGTATCTATCAAAACTGGATTGCGCAATAAATAGCAATTGATCGATCCGTCTCCAACGTGAGATGAGAAAGCCAACAAAAGGAGTTACAAACCTCAAAGATTCGCATTACGGAGAAACACGAGGATCGGTTTAATACAATTTTAGTGTCATCGAGAATTGAACTGACCCGATTTCGAGCATTTGGATTTGCACCGGATTGTAGCAATTTCAGCACAACCTGCAAATGTCCCTGCTGTGCGGCCAAATGCAATGGAGTCGAACCCATTCGCGTCCGAGCATTCACGGCATCTGTTCGGCCAGTCTCTGCCAAACGAGACAGAAGGAGACGGACCGAGGCCAACTGACCACGATATGCGGCAGTGTGAAGCGGAGTGAATCCGGCCTCCAGCGTGGGAGCATCAATCGGTGCCCCGGCGTCAAGTAGGCACTCGGCAACCGGAACTTTGTCCTCTTGAACCGCCAGATGTAGCGGCGTCAGTCCATCCTGAGCATAGATGCAATAGATGCGGATAGTAGTAGTGACTCACTCGGTGATATAAGAAAAATTTAGTTCATAATTTCATGCAACTGGGACAGTAAGTTTCGGACCACCCCGTTCACTGCTGGTACCGCGTAGCGTCAGGCTGTTAGAAAACCCTATTCAGTATTTGTAATATTGTCATGACAACGGTCAAAAAGAGTTTACTATGGTTTCACGGATGAAAATCTATCTTAATTCATTCCAGGGCCGAATTATCCACTCAGAAGGCAAATCCATGTGAAAATTCGGGCACCCGCAATAGGAGGAAACAGCTGAGAATAGTAATCTTATGAGAGCTGTGTTATCGGTACCTATGCAGACCCTCCCACCCAATTCGCGTTTTTCACTACTTCGCTTGGCACGCTTCCCGCTTCCCGCTTGTGTCCCAGGACAAACGAATCATTTTTTCCGTACTCCACCATGGTGTCGGGTACCTTATTTTCTACCGACTAAGCCTCAAACGTGTTTGGAACCAAGCATGCATGCACTGGTTACATGGTTTGCCTTGTCCGATAACTAGGTCAGTTGGCACGGTCGACCTTTTTCGTCCCTATTGATTTACGTCTACTCCACAGGATATCGGGGGAATGGGATCCGGAATGAAAAAAGATGAAACGCTGAAACAATATACTTACAGACAAATTTGGACCTACTCTCTGATAAACATATATGAACATGCATATACACAAACGCACACTGAGGATGCATCGATCATTGAATCGCCTTTAGCCCCAGCACCGGTTCTGCCCGTAGGTGAAGATGAAGATAGCGTTTTTGCCATTGTATTACTAGTTATTGTTTGTTATTCCTATTATCACTGCATTAAGAAAGATTGTAATCGATGTGGCTCACACGCACCGCCCCTCGGCAGGTCCACCTACACTTACTGATAGTACCTCGACTGATCAGTTGATCGTAGGAGTAGAACGAATGTACACTACACGATAAGAATGATTGCATAATCATCGAGATCATAACCATTTTTACAGTTCAAATACCCGTAAGCAATATCGGAAGCAGAACTGCTTGATTGGGTTGGTTAAGTGCATGGATGGATACGCAGATGGATATCTGCGTGTGTGTCTACACTGATGTCGGACCACAGGGGGAGCAGGAGGGTTAAATGCATGTACGGGAACGGAAAAAACCTGGTCCCAAGTACGTGGATGGAACAAGTCGCATGGGATCAATATAACCTGGAGCTGGTGTGAGCCAAAATGTCCTGATGAACCGTTCACGATTGCCTCGGAATTGTGCATGTGTGTGTGTGTGTGTGCGTGTGTGTGACAGGATAAGAGATGCGTGAGGTGAGTGGGTGAGCGAATAAACAAACAGTTGCCGGAGCAGGAACTAATAGGACGCAGGAAGCTGTAAGGACCGGACGAGAGAAGCCCTTCGATGAGGGTGGTAGTTGTCTTGTTGCTGTGACCAACATGTTGCTCCCAGAGAGTTAGTATTATGATTCCCGGTTAAACCGATCTGCTGCTTGTGGTTTGGATCCGTGCCAATAAGATATGCGTGAAAGACGAAGGGAACGGTGGGTGGATGAGGATCGGACGTGGTGAATTAAATGAAACTGGTCTGAGTTTGCGCAAACTGTGTTATCGGTTTTCGCAACCGCTTGTGTAGCTGTTTATTTGTTTGTTTTGTGAGCGAAATTTCTTTTTTTCCGCGCTAATCAATCGGACAAATAAGAACACCCTGTATTGTGCCTACCGCGGCGCGTGTGGTGGGTGTTAGTCTATGAGCAAATTCCAATTGTGTTCACCTATTCAAACTGTATATTGTTTTAAGCGGCCTGCTCCAATCGGATAACTGGTTTCTTTAATGTTACGATTTTATGGCCGATATTTTGAAGCTAAAGTGAAAATCACATAGTAACCAGAAAAGATGGACAATGAAAAGGGTCGAACAGCCACACTGGATTCCTCACATAGAACAACCACCAAGCATCGATTTAGCTGCAGAGTCCGAATTTGAAAGCAACCGTGTACAATCTTCAGTACTTATTTGATCACAACGAATGTGTGTGGGGGGGGCAAGGAGAGCAGGTTTTGCATAATTTAATTGATCAATGAAACAAGTACCACAGACAGGACTGCTGACCGTGTGCGTCTCGTAACATTACCATAAAAAGACAATAAAAGCAAGAACACAAGCCTCATTTTATGTGCTGTTTCAAGAGTTAGTCGTCCACATCTTTTGCCAGTAGGCATATGGTCAAGCGAGCAATTAGTATCCAGTTCGATGGATTATTTGATGCACGAGAAGACAGTTAAAAAGAGAGAGAGGCAGACGAACATGGGAAACTTTAGCGTTGCTGAATTAACCATGTAATTATCGTTGAGACTTCAAAGCCGAAGTACCCCGTCCCAATCGTTCCCCTGCGGATGTTCGCTCAAATTGGTGAACAATTATCTAAGTCAAGGGACACGGAGATATCAGGTGTGTGTGTGTGTGCAATTTAAAAAGCTTCGAGGAAAGTGAATGAGTTGAATACAGGGTCTTAAAGACATCTACTTTTTGGAATTTGAATTTCATTCCATACAGCCCTTGCCGGGCGTTGTCAAATCATTTGACCCAGTGTTTCGTTGGGTTAATATCTATCTCAGTATCACGTGACATGTTTAAAAAGTGGGTGTGCACATTTTTCGGGGAATGCGTTTACCAGATGTACTTTGAACACACGCGACCTGAACGATCGCACACACATTCATTCTGCCGACCTGAAACACTGAGGGAAATCGACCGGAGGGTTGAACCGACAGCGCACCAGGTTGTACGGACCAAAATATAAAACGGAAGGAACTGAGATACGGAAACTGGTCACACTGTGTTAATTTTTGTNTTTGTTATGTATTTCCGCTATCCGTTTTTTGGTCGCTACCTCGGCATAAACAGTAATGCTTTACTGGTGCAACATACACTTTTTGGGGTAAAGTTGCTTCTCTAATCAAATTCAAAGTTTTATTATGGGTAAATTTCAAACCTGATGTTTATTGAATCCCATAGGATCTGTACACACTGGGTTCGGTTGGTAGTACAATTAAGTAGCAAATTATAACTGTAACTCACGAATGCTGAAAAGTCAGATCTCTCGATGCTTCATCCAGTCGTGACTTGAATGAATCCATGGTTGGTGCACAAACAACTTGAGGTGGAAGAGAGCTCCAGGTATTACAANAAACTCTGAGACTAAAAGAATGACGCCTGAAGTCGAGCCGGCTCTTTTGGAGCAAAAGTTTAAACGGATGTCCTCGGAGTTGACCATTCCTGGATAGCGTCACTAGAGTAGTACACGGGTGGTTAAGTTGATGTATTATTTGACATATGACGATCATGTCTCCCCGTATTTGACGGTATTCAGACGAGTAGAGTCCGAGAATTAGCAGCCTTTCACCGTAGGTCTTAGATTGTAACCGTATGTCCATTTTGGTTGCTGTTCTCTACGGGCGTTCGGGTGCCTTTTGGTCGCGTATCAGCCATGGATTCCAAGCCAGTATAGCATACTCGGTGTGTGGTCTAATATGAACTGATGGTAAACGGGGAAACAGGTCTGTTTAGAATGATCCAAAAACACGTTTTAACAATCCAACGTGCTTTATGACCTTTGATGACGATCTTGCGTAATGTGTGAAACATCGTAGATCCTCCAGAACGATAGCTCCTGGGTCCATTTCGTTTGGAGAACACGTTAATGGCTGAGTTCCAAGTAAGTATGGAAAGCGACTTCTGTGACGCAACCGTACAACTTGGAATTTCTCAACGTTGAATTTGATGTCATTAGTAATAGATCATTGGTAAGCTGCGTCGAGAGTTTCCTGCAGGGTTTCATAATCTTCAGGATATAGTCATATTTTGGCGTCGTCAGTGAATAATAATGCCTTTTCTCCAAGGACATCTGGTAGGTTGTTTATGAATGCTAGTTTATCTGACTGAGTTTAAAAAGGACCACAACACCCCGGTAAATACATACATATGATTTTCGATTGCTATGAGTACTCTGTCCTTGTGCCAGGCTATTTGTATGATTAGACTTCCAAGGGTCAAACGGAAGTGTGTTATTTGAGTGGTAGTGATGGAGTTCGAATTCAATACCTCCGGGAGTACAATCACCCTAGTTCCAGTCCTGATTTGGTTTGAATTGTAATCCCTCAAAAAGCATGGTATGGGTTTTTCTCGTACAGTGAACCTCGTTTTTATACTAGTATCTACTTGCCAATATTTGTCAATAACACAATCGACCTGGGTGATGCGTTTCGGGATAACCTGTAATGTACCAAAAAGTGGGGAACAAAGGAAGATTGATTTCTTAGTTTAGAAAACCGGGGACTATGCAAATCAACTGAGACAAATTTGAACTGGGCGCTGATGTCCACTACAACACGGATGTGATGGCTGAGGTTCATTTTACCCTCGTTTGGTGTCTGATAATAAAATGCTTTCCATCAAACATTTTCCACTTCACATTGCACTAGCTTTCTTGTTTACAAAAGAGGATCTCAATAATTGTTCGTAGTTAAAACACTCAAAATTCTGTATTATTCTATCGGGCTTGGACAAACACACACACATGAACAGAGGAATTTGGTTTTTATTAAGTAGTATGTGAATCATTGGTACTCAATTTATTGGAAGCACAGGATAAGTTTTTCGGTTTTTTCCACTTTTCTGGGTTTTTGCGATCAGCACTGTTCTGTATAACGATTCGTATACATGTATCCACATCCGCCGTTAGAAAAAAACATCACAAATAGCTCTGTCTGACGGTGTGTCAGACAGAGCTATTTGTGTGGCTGATAAAACGAAGATTATGAGTTCGGATCCCAACGCGAGCATCGAGTAAATTTCTTTCTTCTCCATAGTTCGGAGCAGGCTTCGGTCGAGTGCAGTCCGCTTCGCGAAGATAGGCTGTCACGTCCAAAATTTGTGCCGTGGCAAAACTAGTCAAAACATTCGAACTCAACGTTACCGTTACGTGTAACATTTCAGAATTTTCCCACCTATTTACTCACAATTGTAACAGTCCATCTTCATACCTGTCTGGAAATTTGTACAACACTGCCGAACCAGATCGATGTTTCAGTAGCATAATTCTGTTCCGACTATTGTGTCAACTTGGCCCCTCCCCCGTACACTAAGTCGCACAAAATCCATGATTGTGTGTCTATGTGCGTGCGTACGTGTGTGTGTGTGTGCCTGCGTCAAAACTAACCTGTGCTGCAATAGACGGATCTGCTTTGTACTTGTTCACCAATAGATCCACAAATTCCACCTGTCCATCTTGTGCAGCCAAATGAAGCGGTGTGTAACCATTGCGTGACCCGGCATCAACTGCCGCTCCATGATTGGCCAATGTCTCCGCGCATGTCCGATTGTTGCGTTTGGCAGCCAGATGCATTGGGGTGAATCCATTTTTCAC